CCATCTGGTTGCTTCGTGTTAGTCTCTGTGCTGATGGAATTATCCCCCTCTCTGCCTCACAGCCCCTGTGTTCATAGAATTCTTGTTTCAGTATACTGATGTTACCAGATGTTTGGTTTTGTTCATTCCTTTTGTTTAAATGTGTGTATGCCTTAACAAGACACAGAGGGCAGGGGTGGGAGGTGACATCTCGGTGATCTGAGTTCCTCTCCAAATGGAGTGAGGATGGGCTGTGCCCTTGGTTGGGTCTGAGAAAATCTGGTAAAGGAAGGGAAGGCAAGACTGGCATTTGGAGGGTGGACCAGTAGACGAAAGTTGCTACATCTGTCTTTCTGCCTGTAAACTAAGATGTGAATAAGTAAAGTAAAAGGAATCAAAGTGTTCCCTGGTCTTTGCCTTGTCTGTGACCTTGGCTCTGTCATTTTCCTGTCTTTTAAAAATTTTAAGATTTTTATTTGTTTTATTTGAAAACCACATTTACAGAGAGAAGGAGAGACAGAAAGATCTTCTATTCGTTGGTTCACTCCCCAATTGGCCTGAATGGCCAGAGCTAGCTGATAGGAAGCTAGGAGCTTCCTCTACTTCTCCCATGCGGGTGCAGGGTCCCAAGGCTTTGGGCTGTCCTCTGCTGCTTTCCCAGGCCACAGGCAGGGAGCTGGCTGGAAAGTGGAGAAGCCGGAACACAAACTGGTGTCCATATAGCATCCTGGTGCTTACAAGGCAAGGATTTTAGCTGCTGAGCCATTGTACCGGACCCCACAAGTTCTTCTGTATGTGGCCTGTGATGGACGTGTCTCCCAGAATGACATATCTTCCAGAATAAGGTTGAATCCTGATGGCTAGTGCAGCTGCCTCTCCTGCCCCTGCTTCCCCAGCTGGCTGAGCCCCAGCCACATGGCCACCTGGCCACCTTGCTGACCCTACCCAACACACATCAGGCACTCTGAAGAATAATTCCAAGGTGCCACTGGGAACAGGGCATTTCCTCCTACTCTGTCCTACATCCGGTCCTAAGGGGAGACCTGTGTGGCCCTTCCCATCTTTCATATTTTCGTAGGTTCTGGTTAGAAATACCGCAGAGTCAGACCTCAGGGATAGCCACTGCTGCGTTTCTTAGTGTGAATTATTTCCATGAGAATGCGGAGGGATTCTGAAGATACTCATCCTCAGTGAAGCCTCTGAGGTCAGGTTCATGTTTGCTGTGAAATTCTGATCCTTCCATAAGAGATTCCCAGTTGGACATGACTTTTGACAGCTGTTCTTTTTTGTTTTGCTTCATTCCTTTTTCTTCCAAAGTGGATCGTCTTCTGCCTCCTCATTTGGCAGGTGACATTTAAGTGGCGTTTCTTCTTGAGGTCAGAGTTGTTGTTTGTATGGAAAGCATCGAGATAATTGCCTGTAGCCCTCAGTGTGGGGACTGGTGTCACAGTGAGGACTAGGGAGCCAGAGGAGTCCTGGGAGAGAAGAGAAAGAAAGTTATGAACTTCTATACAGTTGCTTCTAAAGGGAAATCACCCTTCTTCATTTTCAGGGCACACATATTATGTTGTTGTTGTTCATATGATCCAATGGAGCTTACTTTCCGTAAGCAAATACACCGTTTTAATATGTTGTTGAAAGTTCTTGCCTCCATTCACAACTGAAGTGCTTAAAAGGCCTCACATTTGGAGCTATGGGCAATATAACAAATGATTGACGACCAGACCTGATCATGGCAGTGAAAGTTTAGTGTGTGATGAAGTTCTTATTTCCAAGTGAGTTACAATTTATCATTCTTGCCTTGTGGTCTCCTTAAAAGGCACATAGATAGCATTTGTATGTGTGTCAGATAAATTTGTGCTGTGATGTGCTTGAAGAACATGCTGGGAATCTCTAATTATGTTAAATTATTTTCTTAGTGCAGCATTATACTCATTATATACTCTACACATTTAGTTTTTGAATAGATTCTTGGCATGATAATTACATAATCATTTAGTACAGTAGAAACATCATTATGGTCAAATACTAATTAGCTACTAAAATGAAACAAAACAGCCTAGTTCACAGCTTACTATAAAAAGTGATTGACTATAGTACAAGACCAAATGTATAGTTAAAATCATTATTTGCTGTAAATGAATCACTTTTTTCTTCTCTTGGGGAGGAATCAGTGTTCTGAATGCTTATTACCTAATTGATCACTTGGGTGCACATTACACTTTCTTGTCATGACCAGCCGGACCCACTCTGTGTGCTGTCCCCTGTGGGAATGGGCAGGTGGACATTCCAGACCCTGCTTTGCCATTGGTCCCTATGTGTGCTTCCGGGCAGTCTCCTGAAGGAGGCACCTAACCTGCCTGCAGACCAGGGTTTTCTGGAGTTCTTCGCCTTCAAGTCCTGTGAGTGTCTGAGAGTTTTGGTTTCTGTGTTCCCTCATTGAATATCTTTGGTGCACAGAATGAGTGGCCTCCAGCTCTCTTCCACTAATGCCTGTAGTGCAAGTCCTGCTGCTTGCAGAGAACCCTGGCAGCTGTGGTTGTCCAGGGGTGTGTGTGTGTGTGTGTGTGTGTGTGTGAGTGTGATATGATGCAACATTCAGCCCAGTGAATAGAAGCCCAGTGAACGAGGGTAAGGGAGCTGCCGGATCCCTCAGGCCAGCCTGTTGAGCAGACGTCCCAAAGGGGACAGCACCTCACTTCTCTTGAGAACCACTTCTGTTCATGCAGTAGAGTCTTAGCTATTGCTGGGTGGGGTTGAGGCTCTCTGCACACCTGTGCGTGACTGCAAGCTTTGTTGTCCCTCTTTTGTATGCATGTGGAGCCTTAGTAAACATTAATGATGCAGGTCCGGACTTGTTGCCCCAATTCACACAGTGAGCCTAACAGAAGGCCAAGACATTCTTGTAGTCACATGTGACTTTTGACATCTCAGAATAGTATTTAAACCATCACTCCTACTTCTGATCAACAACTAGAAATCAAATGTTTTGCATATTTTGTGCTGTATCCTCCCACTTACCACCCTTTGTTCTTTCCTATTGTCATTGCTTTAGTTTTGGAGCCGGTAAACATGCATGCAATTTTTTGATGAGTGTCTGGTATTGCAGTTGAAAGTTAAAATACACAGGACACATATGCAAGGTGAGAGAACACTGGCAGGCTTTTCTGATGCACAATAGCACCTGTTAGCTTGTTGTTCCCATCAGTAGCTATTGTCCTCAGGGGGAGAGATGGTTGCTATCTGCCCAGTTCTCTGCTCCCACAGTTATAAATTTGAATAGGAAAAAAAAACTTAGATCATGCAACTGTTCACTAGTGAATCAGTGAGTTCTGTTATTAGTCAGCCTTCCTCTTTGAAATGTTCTTTGATTTATTTGAAGAAGATGTAATGCAGATAGCAGATCAAATCGTAAATATTGTAGAGTTGTGTAGTTGGCCGTGGAATGATCTAGAATGCACCTACTCTTTTTTTTCTCTTTTATTTATTAATTTTTTAATTGTTCTTTGATACAGTTTAATTGGCACCGGGGTCTCCCTTCCCCTCCAGCAAGTTCCCTCCCCTCCCCTCTGTTCTTTCCTCCGGTTTTGCAATGGGTGTCTTTCGTGAATTTTCCCGAGTCTGTCATGCTGCCGCTGGAGTCTCTCCCAACCACGTAGGAGACTGTCATTCGTTTCATTGTGAGTTCATTCTTGTATCCCAGGGCCCTAACGTAGGTCCAGTGAGAACTAGATCTTCATTATTTATGGGCAGGAACGTACCTACTCTTCAAGCTGGCAAGTGGGAAGTTTCTGGAAGAAGTAAGCTGGTGAGAAAATTAGAGGTGTTGGGTGCCTTAGGTAAAAAATACTTTGACTTTCAGAGAATTAAGAGAGGGCGTTAGCAAAAATGAGCTCCTTCACTATTTTATACAAATATAGTTATGCTGGAAACCATCCTGTAAAACTTTTAATATCATGTGAATGATATCAAAGGTGCTAATATAAAATATTGGAAAGATTCTGTCAGAAATAGTTCCAAATATGCTAAACTGATTCCAGTGATTCCTATTTTGCTTTTCTGATCTTAGTCTCGATGAAGTGTTTTTCACTGTTTCATTTAAAACTTTGGCTCTTGGTCAGGCACTTGACTTAGTAGTTAAGACTTCCACATTCCTCCCCCTTTTTTAAAAAAAAATTATTTTGATTGCATAGGCAGATTTACAGAGAGAATAGGAAGCAGAGAAAGATCTTCCATCCACTGGTTCACTCCTCAGGTGTCCTCATCGACTGAAATGGAGCTGATCCAAAGCCAGGAGCCAGGAGCTTTTTCTGGGTCCTTCATTTGGGTGCAGGGTCCCAAGGCCATTCTCTACTGCTTTCCCAGGCCACAAGCAGGGAGTTGGATAGTTAAGTAGAGCGAGGACAGGAACTGGCATCCATAAGGGATCCTGGTGCATCCACTGAACCAGCCCATCGGGCCCCACATCCCCTTTGTAAGTCCCTGAATTCTCTGTTGTGTTCCTGATTCCAGCATTCTGCTTTTGCAGACCACAGAAGGCAACAGATTGTATGTGGGGTTGTTGTTGCACCCCTGTCCTCCATGTGGGTGGCCTGAATTCATTTCCTAGCTATCCACTTTGGTCCCTGCCTAGCCCTTGACCCAGCAGGTGGTGAAATGAATGTCATAATCTTAATTGCATGCAAATTATGAATTTTTTATTCAATGAGTTTAAACAGGGATCAATGTATTAATTGCATAAAGATGATTTTCCTAGACTCATCAATAAAACTTTTTATAAGTCCTATTGTAAAAGCTTTGTTACTTGTCTGTTAATGTCTTGTATTTGTAAACCATTTCAATCTATACAAAATGCTTCTGAGTCATTGCTACTCTTTGCATGGTATTTGTCCTAAAGGAATTGTCAGTTTTCCCAAGGGGTCTACCACAAGGTACCTTTCAAAAGGTTCTGTGACTGCCTGCCACAGTGTGACAGATGTAACAACATTGGGATCGTGATAGTCAAGTTGCTGTTTTTGCAGGTACCTCGTGCTCTTTAATCCTTTGGAGCAAGACCGTAGCACAGTGGTCTCTGTCTACGTGAGTTCTCCCAAGGCACAGGTGCAGTCCCCTTCAGGAGAAACCTTGGAGGTCCAAGTCAGTGCCGTGTGGGATGCGGAGCAGGCTGTGTCGCAGACCGCCTATGAGGTAGGTGGTGGTGAGGGAAGCTGAAGGCACAGCGTGAAGAGTGTGGGCCAGGTAGGATGGATGGCTGTGTCAGGGCTCCATGGCAGATTAAACCAGTGTGCGCTTGTATTGGTGTATGTGGAATGGTGAAAAGGTAAAAGCTAGAGCACTGAACAGAGTTGTTGAGTGACACTAACAGGAAATAGGGCATTTCAAGAAGTTTGAGAAAAAATAGAATTAAAAGGTAAGATTCATTTGGGTGTAAAAAAATACGAAATTCATACGTGTGGTGGATCTTCAGACAAGTAATGGAAAGAAAAAACCTGTGCTATGAAACAAACCAACCAACCCACCAAACTCTGCTGTTGAGTTTCAGAATTTTTAGGAACTAAACTTTTAAGTTTAGTTCCATTTCCCAGGAACTTTAAAAGCACCCTCATCAATCTTGTTTCTCAATATGTTGGTGTCTTTGTCAGTAGGTATGTTAATTTTTACAATGTTAGCAAATACATTGTGTATCTTCATATATATCTATAACTATAGGTATTCTAAAGAAGTGAAGTCATTACTTGAAAATTTTTATTTTAGTCTAACTCAATTTAGTGATAATTTGGAAATTGAGATAAATACCATCCTTGATTTTTTTTTCTTTACAAAGGCAACATGACACCTCATAGGCATGACACATTTTAAAATAATTCAGGTGTTTCTTCACTTGCTTAAGCCAAAAGCCTAAATATTTTGCCTTTCAGTGGATTCCATTTCTTTTTAATAAATTCTCTCTTCTCTCTTCTAGATTTCTTTCATAGCACACATGCCAGCACTGGGACTGAAAGTGTATAAGATTCTGGAATCAGAGGGCTCAAGCCCACGGTTGGCCGAGTACACCCTGTATAATGGTGCAGCAAAAGACAAGAGCATTTTCAAGATGAAGAATGTAATAAATGCTGAAGAAGCTATAACCATTGAGAACTCCTTTCTCACGCTTTGGTTTGATCAATCTGGACTTATGAAGGTATGGTTCGATCTTTCTAAGATTGATTTATTTGAAAAGCAGAGTGACACCCAGAGAGAGAAAAACACACACACACACAGACACACACACAGGAGTCAGGGAAAAGGCGCTCCATTGGCTAGTTCACATCTCACGTGGCAACAGCTGGCTAAAGCCAGGAACCTATCCTCCATCCCAGTCTCCTTTGGGTGTCAGGATGCCAGACCCTTGCACCATCATCCTCTGCTTTCAAGCACAGTAGCAAGTAGCTGGATTGGAACAGAGTACCCAGGATTCAAACTAGCCCTCTCCTATTGGATGTTGGGGGTTAGAAACCCCTGGTTATCCCATTATGCCCTAACGCTGGTATATTTTGAATTCTTGTGAAATCTGTGGTAATATTGGCACTTGTACTATGATATGTGAAATTACATGTGGAAAAGGATAAAACTCCTCTTCAGTAGGGTTAAGTGTAGAAATTGTGACTGTTTCAAGGTGTTTGTAGAAATTTTGAAAGCAATTTGACTGAAGAAAATGCCTGTTGAATGTGAGTATGGATTTGGCATATCACTTTAATTTGAATTTTGAATTTTAAGTTTTATTTCACTAGTATGTTACAAAAATATTGGACTGGTACATGTTGAAACTGAAAATGGAAGGGTGGGGGACAGAACCATGCTGTTCCAATCAGCTCCCTGTTCGTGTGCTGTGTTAAAAACACAAAACATCTCCTGGCCCCTGGCTTCGGACCAGCCTGGCTCTAGCAGTCTCTCTGTCATTTAAGGACTCTCTCTGTCTCTCTGTACCTCTGGCTTTCAAATGAAACTAAACTAAAATATTAAAATAAATGTAAACAAATACATCTGTCCATTCTATGGAAAGGTTGGAAAGCACCGCTCCAGGCGGCTTACTTGGTCTCTGCTGGTTACTCAGAGGTGTGTCTGGCATTGTTCCTGGTTGGAAAGTTTTCAAACCTGAAACGTGAAGGGAAGTGTGAGATTTTGGGTGCTCAAGAATAACAAATATGAAAGGCTTAAATGAGCATTTCTTAATCTAACAGAGAGGGGTATTTGTTGTTACTGTGGTTATTTGGTTTAGTTGACCTATAACCTCATGCAATGTTTTAATACAGTGTAGCTCTAAAAAAATGTTTCTTTGTCTTCAGAAAATAGTGACTAAAGAAGATGGCCAACACCTTGATGTGAATCTACAGTTTTCATGGTATGGTACTACAAACAAGAGAGACAAAAGTGGTGCCTACCTCTTCTTACCGGATGGCAGTGCCAAGGTAGGTGGCGCTGGCGGAAGTGACAGGCAGGAAAAATTCTTACCTGGAGACTCCTGAGAAAAGTAACATGTGTCGCGTTGTTTTATCATCTGTTCTCCTGTTAGGAATGTCAGCTTTTTGGCTGCCATGTTGTAGGCACTTAACAGTTTTATTGTTGAAAGATAGATAAACCAGTCATTTGTCAAAATTTGAATTCAGTTAGGATATGCATGGAAAGATGCCTGCTAGGGTTTGGTGACGTGTAGGTGCTGTGATGGTGTTTTGCCTGGCTGTGGGATCCCATATACCACTGAATAACTCGCCCTATGGGGAAAATTGCTGTCACTGCTTAACTTGCTACCTTTAAAATACTGTCTTCTGCTTTTACAAGATAGTATGTGTAACCTCTGAGATGTCTTAAAGATACAGAAAACTTTCGAAAAAACAAATCCCACCAAAACAGCACTGCCAACATTTTGATGTGCAGCTGTTTGTATTCCATTTTATGCATATCCGTTTCCCCCATTGTCAGGTTTTGTTTCAGTCCATGCGTGTGAGTGTTTTTTAGTTTAAATAATGTGTATATCTGACAGCTTGTTTCATGAATACATAATTTTAGCATATTTCATTTCAGAATTTTCATAGTGTATATGAACTTTGCCCCACTTCACAACAACTATCATGTTGTAATAACGTACAAAAAAAAAAAAAAAGAATGTTCTTTGTAGCATTCTTTTATGCAGTTCGGATAGTTCCCTGGAAATAAGTTCCAAAAAGAGTTGTTGGTTTGAATTAGTGGATGATGCTTGTTAAAGCTTTTTGATAGGTATTGTTCATCTTCCTTCTAGAAAGGTTTATGGATGCTCCCTCCCATCAGTGTTTTTTGAGAGTAATTCTTTACTGTGGTATTGCAAATGCTGAAAGTGTACCACTAAAGTTTTCTTATGAAATTAGTTAACAAAAAAAATTTTATGGGCCCAGTGCTGTGCCCTCACGACTAAAGTCCTTGCCTTGAACATGCCAGGATCCCATAGGGGCACCGGTTCTAATCCCAGTGGCCCCGCTTCCCATCCAGCTCCCTGCTTGTGACCTGGGAAAGCAGTCGAGGATGGCCCATAAGCCTTGGGGCCCTGCGCCTGCATGGGAGACCTGGAAGAACTCCTGGCTCCTGGCTCCGGATTGGCACAACATTGGCCATTGAGCTCACTTGGGGAATAAATCAATGGACGGAAGATCTTTCTGTCTGTCTCTCCTTCTCTCTGTATATCTGATTTTGCAATAAAGATAAATAAATCTTAAAAATATATTTCTGACAACTGTGGTTACTACCAAGTTGGATCTTTTGCATATGGATTCATCTTTTATATTTCTGTGAATTTTTTATTTATGCTTTTTAACATTGTTTCCTATTAAATGTTCACTATATTTGTAAGTGCTCTTTGTCCATGCTAAAATTAATCCTTTTCTGTGCATATTCCAGAATTCTCCCTCAGTGTGCCATTTGATTTAATTGTAGCTCTTTTCTAAGTACCTTTTTTTTTGGTATGTGTGATTAATTCTGTATCCCCCCTCCCAACTTTTTAAAAATTCATTTGCTTTTGTGCCTCTCCTCAGGAGCAATTTAATGTTCTCCTTATTTTGTTAGGGACTTGTCTCCTAAAAAACTTACTTTTATCTTACAATTTTAAGCATAGTTAAATGTTAGATTTTTTTTTAGGCTCTGCAAGCCACAGTTAGGACTCCAGCGTTGTTTTCCTTTTGGTTGTTTGTGTAAAATCAGCGAAGACTTAATTACAGCCCTAGCAGGCTTTCCGCACAGCCGTGGGTCTAAGCAAGTTGTCTCACTAGCATTTGTCATTGCACAGACAATTTGTTCTCAGTGTCCTTCGACTTCGGCTGTGGACTATTATGCATGAGTCATAGCTCATTTATTTAAAGACTGTTTCACCTCAGCATAGCTCTGTTGTTAGCAATGTAGAGAGCGTTCACGTATGTTACCATAAAAAAATAAGAGACTATGAGAGCAAGCATACGGGAGGATACCTCAGAAACTGGAAAAAAAGAAGTTCAAGTAAGTATGTTTAGGTTCAGAAAAACTTTAAAATTCCTTGCGCAGCTTCTTCATGGTAATATATTTTTCATGATGTTTGAAGATCCTTCATTTGCATGGATTTTGTAAATTTTTTGTCCCCAAATTAACTCACCTCATAATACCAGTTTCCATGAGCCTTTTTGAAGCACCCTTCGACCAGAGACCATCCTCCAGGGCTGGCATCCCCTTCCCTTTGTGACCGTGCAGCAATGAGCTAGATGAACTGAGTAAACTATTAATCACCTTATTAGCTTCAGAATATGTTTCTCCAGCAGAGGTATAAAATCTGGAAGACTGTTATACCATTCTGGAATGTTTGTACTACGTAAGTGGTTCATATTACAATCCTGGCTTCTTCATTCTTTTTGAACTAAGGCATCTAATGTTTAAAATTAAACCCTTCATAAATGCTTTCAGCTTATTCCCTTGCCTCATGTAGTTTATTTCCATGTTTTCTTAAATTTTAGATTCTAATCAGTGAAAGCTAAGCTTGTAGTTTTCATACAGTTTTAATGTAGTTCTTCCTGTTTGCCTTCGAGACACCCTCAGCCCTCCCTCCCACCTACCCTGGTCCCTAAAGATTCATCAGTCATGGTTCTATTGAATGTATTCTACCTGGGAAAATGCCATTGGTGTTTCACAATTGCTGTACCCAATAAATGTGTGAACAATACGGAAGGATTCTAATTAGAAATTCAAATAGCCGGGAGAAATTGTTGTAGACCGTATTGGCCAACCAGGTTATAAACATTGTATTTTCAGTAATGATTTTGATAATGAAAAGCTTCATGTTCATTTTTTTATGACATGTACGTATTCTGAAAACTTGAAAGCTTTGCTTTTCATGTAAAATTACAAATATCATGTAATAGATGTTTGCCATTTCACAAGCTGCTATAAAAATTTCTTGGCAAAGTTTAGAAGCCAAAATATTTTTCTCCAAAATTTCATTTCCTCCCCAGACTTACATTTTTGCAAAACCACCCTTGGTGATGGTGACACGTGGAAGGATGTATTCGGAAGTGTCTTGCTTTTTGGACCACATCACCCATCGAGTCCGCCTCTACCACATCCAAGGTAAGGAAGCACAGATGTGGCTGTGAGACGTATGAAACTTGAGCCTTGAATTCCTCCGCATGTAGGTTTTAAATAAATGGGCAACTGGTTTGTGAAGAGGATTTCTGTCTCAACTTGATAGCACTTTTGCAGGATAATCTAAAGTATGCTCTTTATGTTTTGATAATTAAAAATGATAAATGCTCTTGTTCCATATGTAAGAAGTTCCGTTCTATGTATCTTTTCACTCTTACTGTTTGTCTTGCAAGCATATAAACTGGAAACTTTATTTCTAACACTGAAACTCAGGTTAGTGGTTTTGTTTGATTTTTTTTTTATGGAAACTGTAACATAGATAATTTTTACTTAGAGGGAAGCTAACTAGCTGTGAAACATATGCACACACACACACGGGGACAACCTGCCTCCTTAAATCACGGACAGTGTCACAGCAGCACATTTTCACTGGTGTATAAAAGAGAAAATGCCCTTCATTAGTATTTATTTACAGCTCTTACTGGCTGATGAATAAAATTAGACAATTGTTTATTGCATCCATGAGCAGCGACTTTATTACCCAAAGTCACAGGAAATAGGCTCCTGATCCCCCCTGGGGTCTGGGACTGATCTTTGGGGGGTCTCTGTGGAGCTGGGCTTTGCAAACACGTCTGCGCTCGAGTGTGATGATTCTGTGTGCAGGGTTTTTAACAGTGTGCTCATCCAGCCCCACGTATGATCTGAATAACCAGAAAGTTCACCGTGTCCTCACACAGAAGATGAATCCATCTATCTTGAATGTTGCCCAGGACAATTGCATTTGAGTGGAGATCTACCTTGAGGATAACGTGGGCACAGACCCACGTCTCTGGGCTTGCTTGACAGGGCTTTGCCTCAGGGGGGTTGCAGGCAGAGTGTGACCCAGAGTGAATGTCACAGCAACTCACCCTACAGTTGATGTTTGCTGCGGGGCCTCTACTGGCACTTCACCCTGGTTATAAGTGTGCCTGCATCTCCCAGTTTTTTACTGGGTTTTGTCTGGTCAGAAGGCAGTGTGTGTACAGTGGCTGGGATGCCGCTGGTGGTCCTCAGTTGGCTTTCTTATCTGAACGGTATGTGCATAGAGCCTCTGGCCTGCCCATGTTCTTGCTCCAGAAAGCTCTTCTTATTTGAATGAAACACTTGTCCTTTTTTCTCTGGCTCTGTCCTGTCCCTCCCAAAGTCAAATAGTTTTTTTTTTCTAATATCTTTTTTCTTTATTTGAGAGGTGAAGTTACAAATGGCTACAAAGGCCAGATGTGTGCTAGACTGAAGCTAGGGGTTTAAAACTCCATCTGGATCTCCCACGTGGGTACAGTTCCCTAAGCACTTGGGCCATCTGCTGCTGCTTTACCAGGTCTATCAACAGGCAGCTGGAGCGAAAGAAGAACAGCTGGGACTGGTACCTGCACGCATATAGTATGCTGCCCTCACAGGCAGTAGCTTAGTGTGCTGCGCCGCTGTGCCCTACCCAACAGTAGTCTTGAGATTGGACTGGCTCCTGGCCTTCTGGAGTGCCCGTGCCAATTCTGTGACTCAATGTGGTCGACACCTATTCTAGCATTAGGCATTCCTTGCCAGTTTCTCTTCTTCCCTGCTTTGGTGTTGTGATGCGGAGCTCTTGGGCACATTGCCTCTTGAAGAGGTAACATCGTTAATCACCAGACCGACCAGTCTTGGCCCTTTGCACGGGCTTTCCCTGTTTTCATTTTTGCATACTATTCAAGGCCTGTGATTTATTGCTACAGAAATGTCTTAAAACCCCAAAACATAGAATTGTGGCAGTGCTTGAAATCTCCAGAAATCTGACCTCTTGTGATGGGAGTATTTTGGAAATGAAAGTGAAATTTGATTAGTAAGAAACAGGTTGTTCTAAATAGCACAGAACTCTTCAGAGTGTTATGAATCTAAGAGCTTTACCATAATAATTAAAAAATAAATATCCATGGCCCGGCACAGTAGCCTAGTGGCTAAAGTCCTTGCCTTGCTTGCATTGGAATCCCATATGGGCTAATCCCGGTGGCTCTGCTTGTTGTCCAGCTCCCTGCTTGTGGCCTGGGAAAATGATAGAGGATGGCCCAAAGCCTTGGGACCCTGCACCTGCATAGGTGACCTGGAAGAGGCTCCTGTCTTCTGGCTTTGGATTGGCTCAGCACAAGCCATTGAGGCCACTTGTAGAGTGAATCATCAGAAGGAAGAGCTTCCTCTCTGTGTATCTGACTTTCCAATAAAAATAAAATAAATCTTCAAAAAAATAAGTAAATATCCAGACCTCAGATTGCCTCTGGGTTTCTCTGTGGAGAGAATAAACTTAATACTGAAGCTTTTCACTTTTATAAAGTAACTTGAAAGCAGAATAAAAGCCTTAGAAGTTGTGGGAATGACGGGTCACTAAATTGGGTAAAATGCAAAGTTACCGGGGTGTGCTTCCCTGGAAGAGTTTTGCTCTATTGCCTGGATTGAACTGGAAACCAACATGTGTGAACTCGAAGTGCATGTGAATTTTTCTTCTCTTAAGCCTGGACTTTTCCCCCCCAGCTTCAGTGTGCTTGGTGGAAGGAGGAAATACTAGTGTCTACTAAAGAGACTTTCTTTCGGTCTCTGGACCTTCCCACGTTTGTGCTCACAATGAATCCCGTTTGCACAAGTCCCCTTCTCCTGCCAAAGCTGACCCTAGCGGTCGAGACCCCAGCATTTTCTCCTTAATCTGCATGGGTTTTGACACATCATCACTGTGTGAGGTAACAGGTTTTACGCCTGCTGGTGTGTTGAGGTTGTGGTGAAATCCTGGCAGGTCTGCAGGGTGCTTGGTGCTAAACATTCAGGTTACCTGGGAAGGGAAATCAGTCTTTGGAGATTTGGTCATGCCACAGCCAAGCATCTGTATTAAACAAAAGTTAAAGGCTCTTCGACATTTTACGCTTCAACTTCCTGAAAACTAGGCAACCTGGTGATTGATCGACATGATTAGCCAACTAACCCAAACTCTGTTCCTCTATAGATTGACCTTTAGGTAATGCTTCTAAACTAACAGAAAGTTTCTTGAGTGTGGCTTGCTACTTTTTGCCTGTGTACTGTATACTATGTACTGATTTTATCCCCTATAAACTGACCAGAACTAAGTACTGGATGAGTATTTATGGTTAGAGCCTGTTTGTTCTTAGTACCGACTTTGTGATGCAAAAAGATTTGGAAGTTGGTGTAGAGAGACCATTAATATTTCATGAGTATATACTGTAATTATTTCTAGATGACTTAATAATGTAAGAGATCTATGATCTCAACAGTGAGGCTAAAGGAACAGAGAATGAGTGAGTGTCATGTCTTCGTTGCATATTTGTTTTAAAATTGTAAAATGCAATGTTTTGGAATGTTCTTTCAGCAAGGCAGCACACTGCCAACCAGCTGGACTGGCCTTGCAGCCCTACATCTCTGTTTGACTCTCTTATTCCAAAGATAACTCTTGCCAAAACTAAGCTTCAGGGAAAAACAAAGTCAAGATCAAATAGCAGTCAACACTTTCCTGATTATGTAAATTGTTTGGTAATTATTGATTTTGAAAAGAACTGGGTGGATAGGCGTCAGTTCAGTGCTACTTTTTGGGGAGGATTGGGTGGGTTTTTAACCTTGGTTTCTCTATTTGTGCTTTCTCCGTATTCTGAAAAACGATTTAGAGTGTTATTCAAAAGCTGTTCTATCAGTTGGAGCTGTTACAAAATACTGTGTTTTTCCTTTCATTATCATTCAGGTATCATATTCAAAAGGTTTCTAGATAGATTAGATTAGAGGAAATCTTAGGCTCACTAGCTTTGAGAGCCCTGCACCATCAGAGCAATTCCAGAGATTTCTAATGAAATGTAATTCTTTGTCTTATGTCAGCTTAAATAAGAAATTCATTTTAGAACACTTACAATTGAATCAACTGCCCTTTTGGAACTCTTTTATGGTTTTTAAAAAGATAGTTTGCAGAAAACAACATTTCATCTGGAGTTAGTTAAAGGGGGGGAAGTGAGAGCTAACTTTTCCTGTCATGTAATCATCTTTCATTAGAGTAAACCACTGTAGAATAGGCTACTTTCACACTTTTAATTAACCTTGGATTAGAGGATAGAACATGATAGAAACATGAGCCCCATGCACGCTTCCGTGCCACTAGATACTGCACCTTCCTCTGAAGTCCAGGTGTTGTGCCTGTAGTGCTCAGCGAATGCCTTTGCCATTTATGACTCCATTTGTCTTCTGAAGTATAATTATTAGGCCTTCACGTCCTGATTTTCTGACATCAATAGCTACTTTGAAAAATCACCTTACAGTGGGTTCCCGGTGTACTTGTGTGTGTTCGCTGGCGGTAGATTCGTCTCGCAGGTCAGCTGTAATATATCCCGTTGCTTCAGGTCTTTCCCCTCCCTCTGCTAGGTGTGTGTGAGTATATGTATAAACCTTGTTTCAGCCCTTAGGAGAAATACCTTGAATGCAAAGCTTTCACCCTGTTTTCCAGCACCGTGTTATAAAAATGCTTTATGGAATGGATCTTGGTAAAAGAAAACAAGCAGCCTGGAGGTGAGATGTAATGAACTGCCATCGAAAAGTATTGAAGGAAAAATTTTCCTCTGATTGAAGTGACTGAATAATTTCCTTGTCAGAGCCCAGTGAGCCATCAAAGAGAGTCGCTCAGTTTTTCTTTGAGCAATTTTGAGTAGATAAACCTAAAAAGATTCGTAACATGATCGTTGACTTTCACATGGTCCAAATGAACTGTCTCTAATTAAACATATAAGGAATCAAATTGGGAATTAGAAATTTGAATTGGTGGTTTTGCTTCAAAGTAAATTAGGGTGGCCTTGAGTTTGTCCTCTGCTGTCTTTGGGTCTCTGATTCATAGTCTGTAAAAAGACTAGGTAGATGATCAATTAGATATAAACATCAAAGTGTCATGACAAAATTCAGCATCACATCAAGTTTGATACTTGACTCTCAGCTTCAAA